CTCTCTCTCTCTCTCTCCTCCTCTCGTGTGTGTGTGTGTGTGTGTGTGTGTGTGTGTGTGTGTGTGTGTGTGTGTGTGTGTGTGTGTGTGTGTGTGTGTGTCGCTGTCCGTCGCGCTCTCAACGCCGGTTTTTCCTTGGACATTTTTCCTTGTCAATCGACTGCATGCCCCTATAAGTTCTTTTTACAAAGCGAGGCACAACGAAACTGCGTGTTTAGCGCTAACATGATGTGGTCAGCAATTACATAGCCAGTTTCACACCAAGCACCCATTGCCGGCGATTTTGCTTCATTAGGGAGGCCTGCTAATCAGTAAGCGCTGTTATGCGTTCCACGCGTTTATTGCGCTCCCCTGCTTCACGTACGCCGCCACGATCTGACGCTCGCCTGATCACGCCGCGCGTGGCTGGCGATGCGCCAATCCTCTACGCATCGACGCTGTCTCCCACCCAGCAGGAAAATGTGAGCGCGCGCGAACACATCGCATACATGCACGTCACACGCACGTACGCTCGGATCACTGCATCATCATCCATTTTACTCAGCGAACCAATGACAATATTTTGGCCTTAGTGTTAGATCTGCCTATGGGAAATCAAATATTGCCTGCTCTGGTACTATGCTATAGAGCACCTTAACTTAACCCTACTGCGAAATACACTTATTTATTTGCTGTTGTCTAGTTGAAGTTCTATGCCGATATCAGAGAAAATTGAAGTGCAACAGTATTTCTTTCACTTTTTCTTGTTAATCCCAGTATCGTCTATGGACATGTTAAAATAACTGCTAGAAATACGGAGAGTTATCAAACCTTTATTACATGACAGAGTTTGTTGCACACTTTGATGCAAATTGCCGCATGCATAACAGTGTTATTGGCAATTTTAGAGGTATACATCATATCATCATCATTATCATTAGAGGTATAAATCATATACCTCTAAAATTGCCAATAACACTGTTGTTACGAGGATGCGGGTTAAAATTTCGTGACCAACTGAGTATTGGGAATTGACACATTCATATGATGAAAAATAAACAACAAGTGGTATAGATTAGTAAAAGAGATCGATTTGCTTCACTGTTCATTATACGTTTATTTTAGGATCGTTATGTTATATTTTTCTTCAAAATTCTAGGGGTGGGATTAAGTGGAGGCTACGCTATCGATATGTCGAGAACGATTTTATTTGCCCAAAACATTCGGTACATTACTCTTCATTGCCGCAGCATGGAGGATGTGGTGGCAAATGGCAGCGGCCTATTGGATCAGGGAAAATGACCATAACAAGCTGCAAATAACCATAGGATAACCTAACATTTAGAAATTCAGTAAACAATAAAGCAAAATACCGCAACACCTCTATCCTACACCGCATGCGATTTATATCTTGAGACTTTCCACTGGAAGAATTTACACTTTGTTCATTATTCCAGTCGGTCATCTTTCGTCAATTGATTTAGTCACAATCGTCATTGTTTTGCTCTCGCTATCTAATATTTTGCCCTGGCTATGGTATTCTATTCTGATCAGTAGCATAACTAATATGATGATATTTTTGTAATTTTATAGGGTAGAATGGCGTGTACGAATTTTACAATGTTTAGAACATCTACAACAGTGTGTACAACGTAAACGTACAACGTACAACGTACAACGTACGTAGCGTACGTAGTGTACAACGTAAATGTGTAGCGATGTGTTATTGTTTTCCTACTCATGTGCTTACTAAAGTTTGAATACATATCGACGTTTACACGTATCGTATTAAAATCTCAAATTATTTGTATACGTCGTAGTATAGCTATAATCCAGCAGATTTCGATAATTATTGCACATATATAATTTAAATATGATATATTGTGTGATCATACATAATATGTAAATAGACTGATCATTCATGTATTTGATGTTGGGTTTTATTTAGCATTTCGCTAATTAGTTTTATTGATAGGTGTTAACGTGAAACGCACGTATACGCGTGAACGTGGAAACGTTGAACATCGACCAATGCTTTGCTACCAGGAGCAACCTGAATACAATCTACTTATTTTTGCATCAAGGATCAATATTTCTAATGAATAATTAAATTTTACAATCAATTAGTATTATTATAACCGTATGCCGTCATATCGATATGAAACTACATTGAGTAGAAATTTATTGGAAAAACCTTTTGCTAAATTATTGCACATATGGACGCTTAATACTTTGTTATAAACAGTTTTTAGTGCCACTAGTTTTTTTTAGAAACAGCATCAAACAAAAATGTGGGGTTTCTATCAATAGTTGATATTATTTTCAGTTATATAGCTTACATCTAAGTATCCTTTGCTATTGATTTTTGTGATTTCCTGGTAATATAACCATAAAGGCTCTAGAGCAGATGCATATGTATATGCAACGGTTGCAAGTTGCAACCGTATAATATGTATAATCGTTATGTATTTATAACAAGAGGATACTTCAAAACAACTTGCTTCCTGTTCCCCACACATCAATCTTATTTGAATTTCTCATAGTACTATACGGACTATGGCTTCTTGACTTGCGTTGAAAACCAGGATGGCTCTGCTTCTCAGGTGACCAGCTACAATCAATACATCTGTATCTTCTGAGCTAGGCGCCCAGAATCTATATGTGAAACAAGGATGCTGATTGGCTGAGCGGCGCGCAATGGCGGATAGCGTTGATCGGCGGTCTTTGCAGCGTAGCTGTTCGGCGCGAGCGAGAAACGAAGCAAACTAAATATTTCCACAATGTGCAAGTTGTTCGTCAAACATTCTTTTGTGCGCTAATTCTGGACATGGGATTGTGTATTTGAGATGAGGAAGGATTCAAGCTGTGACAGGGAACCGGACAAACTTGTCTTCTAAAAGGTACTAATACTAATAATATTGCCATTGGCTTTCTAGTTTCTACTACCCGAGTCGTGGCTTAGCAGTTAGCAACCTTGATTTCCTAACGGCAGCTTCCCGAGTTCCCTGCACTTGATAACTGCTGTAAGTACTGGAGTTTCGACAGAGGTCAGTCCATCTCGACTGTGTAAATTCACCTTTTTATGATCTCTCCTTATAGCATATTAGTGCTGCTTCAAGCATATTGCCATTGCAATTTAATCATAGGCTGTAACTGAAAACAGCTGTTATTGTTGTCACTGGGAGTAAGAAATGAACACGTGCATATTTAGCGGATAAAATATAGATGTTGACTCACTGCCCCCGTAAAAGACATTAGGGTATATTCGTGTATGACATTGTGTGCACATTTGTTTATCGTTGTATACTATATAGTATTGGAATTTTAATATTGGAATTTTTGTCATTTACTTATTTTAGTTGTGTTTCTTAATTATTGGCTTGCATAATTTTTAATATTTTCGTTTTAAGTCAGGGTTACATAATTCTGCGTACTATGGGAGTGATCACTATGATTAATCTAGTTTATAGTTTACTATAACCTATATATACGAACAAATGAGCTTTATTCTTACAAGCAGTATGCAAGTATATTGGAAGAGATCATTGTAGGAGTAGAATCATAGATTTGGCTAATCAATTAGGTACCGGTACTTACTCGCTCACGTGTGTGCGTGCGTGCGTGCGTGCGTGCGAGCGTGAGTGAGTGCGTGCGTTCCTGCCTGCATGTGTGGTGTGTGTATATTCGTGTATATATGCAAGTAATGTGTCGACGTACATGTATATGAGCAGTTGCATGAGCACGTGTGCAGTATGCGTATCTTTTTGTGCAAGTGTATGTAGCATGCCTTTCAATATAAACTGTAAGACTAATGGGAAATGGCTCTGTAGGTCCAATTCGTAGCAGAAATTGTAAACAAAAGCAAGCAAAGCAAACAAAAATATATTTTAAAAGCTTAACTGTTTTATATCAGTGTAGCTCCAGTACTTGTTATTTTACAATGATTTCAGAGTAAGGAATCAATTGGGAAATAAATTCCACACCTACATTTCATGAGGACTGTATGTGAGATCACTAAAGGATACCATGTTGAGTTGCTGGCAAAGAATATAGCATGGCTACCATGCTGCCTTCTTGGGTTTAGACACTTACGGAGACCATTGGCGCCTCTATTGGAAAACGATGGCACACAGACGGAGGCAAGACACGGCTGGAAATGGACAAGTGGAAGAGAATCCCAACTATATTGTATATAGAAAGGTAATGCTAGCATACTATATATCCATTTCTTAGCTGCAGAATGCTCGGTTCTGATTCCCAGGTCTCTGTTGCAGTTGAAGACCCTGCAAATGATTCCTGTCTCCCTGGTTAAGTGTTTACTGATTGCACTAAATTTCTTATGGCTTCCTTTACTAGGGTAAATAGAGTCAGTCACTATCAGTTAATTACACGTTGGTGCTATTTGTTGAGCGTGTGGTTTACTTGCAGGACAATGTTAATTTGTATAATGTGCAGGGTGCGAAATTAACGGGAGTCCGGAGTCAAATACTCCCTGATTTACTGTCAGACTCCCTGATTTGACATATATATGCAGGAGTCCGTGTGACTCCCTGAAAATGTTGCCATACTAACTATAGTTTGTTCCGAAGCACGGCCTCGCGGAATTACTGTATTTTTTTCAGCTAATGTCCAAAGAAAATTTGGCAGACGTGCAACTGCGTGAATCTTAAAAATTAGCACATGTATGCGTTATTGTTTTAAAATATCTTTAATTTTGAACCTCAGACTGCGGACTCAATCATTTTGCTGCGGACTCCCTCTTTTTGAGGGTAGGTCTTTGGACTCCCTTGTTCAAAAGTTAATTTCTACCCCTGAATGTGTAAGCATTATATAATGCGGTGACACATATGAGTGATTTAGGCCAATAAACAAATATGGAAGTTGAACGTTCCAGATTTGTTCAAAAGCAATACTTCACTAAACTGTCTAATTTAATAAACACAAGAATGTGAAACTGTGTTGATGTACATTATTAAATATTAACCAATTAATGATTATTTTAAACCATGATGATGGTAAATTTTGATAATTTAATAGAATCAGTCCACCATACTTAACAGGTGAACGTGGGCAATGCGCGTCTTAGCTAGAATTTGTCCTCATTAAAATATGTTTAATTGAAGGTTGGTCACCATTACAAACGTTTACTTAGGAGGTTAAAAGCTAGGAGGACAAGAGTAGGCAAGCAAAATTTGTGTGGCGAATAGGTTGGTATAATATGAATAATATATAAGGGGCGTAGTAGGCAGAGACATGGTTGGTATTATAAACTGTGGGCAGGGCGATAGATAGGGAAGTCGGTAATATGAGGGGTAACCCTGATATGAGGCAAGGAGGTTAGTAATGTAGATAAGGGGAATAGGTAGGAATGTGGGTAATGGAAGGGAAAGGGATGCATATTCTTTGGTTTGTAGTATGAAAAGGTAAATTGATAATATATGGAGGAAGGTTGGTAATATTGATGTACGAGTGGATCAGATTGAGATCAGATGGTATCATGGTAATATATGTCAATTAGTAGGGGAGTAAGTATGAGTCGGTTGGGGAAATTTTTAATATAGTTTGTGGAGCTTCAGAAGAGTGTTTATTATATTTAGTAATTTTGGCAATTAATAGCTAATTTAGTGATATAAGTGTTCATTACCAAACATTCGTATTAGAATCAGTTTTATAGGTATTCCTTCCTTAAATGTGCATTCCTGAAATTGTATCTATTGTGGCTCTCTCTCTATATATATACAGCCACAATCAGTGTAAAAAATACACTGGGTCTCGGGGCGATTTAGCCCCCGAAATGCCAAAAAGAGCCCCGGAAATGCTAAAAAGAGCCCCCGTAAATTTGCATAGATTTCAATGCAAACCAAATTTTAGAGTGCTATTTTCATGCACGTGAGTTTAAAAAGTAGCCCCCGAAAAATAATTATTTTTTTTTTCCCTGGCCACGATAGATATATATACATTTATTACATGAATATACATATCAAGGAATACCTGTACATCTAATCTATGTATATATATATATTAACAATTTTTTTTGGCATAGCTAAATAAACTCACAACTACTTATAATACTGTAAATACAAGCTGCCTTGCATTTAGAACCCATACATACATGACTGGTGTAGATGTGAATATGGGTCTAGCGGCTAATTAAGGACCATAGAGAGCAGTTTGTAATAATCTCTACACCTCTAATCATGAATCATAAATCAAATCCCTAGAAGGCTAGACTCTAGCCTTCTAGGGATTTGATTTATGATTCAGGATTTGAGGTGTAGAGATTATTACAAACTGCTCTCTATGGTCCTTAATTACTCAGAACCAATAGCAGAGTGTAATTCAATATCTTCCAGACCTGTACACTACTTGCAGGAAATCAAAATAATTAAATTTTGTAATCAATTTTTATTAATTACTTTGATGAATTATTCAGCATTTTCCTTTGAGAAATGAATATGCGCAGAAGCAATTAAAATTTCTGCATACTGAAAAATTCAACTCTGATTGATGGATGAAGAAGGTTTGTTATATATATATATGCATTCTCCTTAGATCCGTAGCAAATGTTTTCTAATATTTTATCATCCATTTTATTTTTAGGGCATTCATTAAGTTGTCTGTTTAAAAAAGCATTTAGGTTACTGCCATGTTGTGCTTTGCAATTTCGAACCCACGTGCAGCTAAAGAATGCCCACGTTTATCTGAGTTCGAGGGTCACAGAGGTTTAATTCAGCAGAAACGTTATGTTAATATACTTAATTACTCCGATGTTTATGTTCACGTAGAAGAAATTAATAATAATATGTCCTTGCCATATACCACAGTTACAAACGGCTGGCTCGATCAACATGAGTTTTTTCAACAGAATAACAAATTATAAATTTAAATGAGCGTCTACCTCAAAATTAAATCATTTCCCAAGCTGTACAAGAGAATGCAATCATTTCGTTTCTAGGTAGCCCCTGGAGATGAAGTCATTATGGTATTAGAGTGATCATTCCTAGGGAAATTAATGACCGTGGCTATTAGTATTAGTGTTTGGAGAAAATGTATCAAAAACTGAGGCAAATCTTTTAATTATTCCTAGTTTTTATGACAGAAAATGGATCCAAGCAGCAACCATGCAGTTCATATCTAGTATATATGTGCATAGGTTTACAGGGGCTAATCATGCTGCTTAATATGGGCACCCGTGGCGAGCGTGGCGAGCCTAGAAAAATTATATATATATACTTATCTATCACATTAAATTGGGCGTTTGGTCGACACATTTTATTCAGATGATAGATTATAGCTCTTATATGAGCATTTTGTTATAAAACAGTGCCTACATAACGTGCCTACATAAAATGGCCTGGATTAGCTAGGCCCTGATTTAGAAAAACATCGTCCCCTGTGATTGTCGACACACATCCCTAATGGGAACAATTAAATTGGGGCCGTTCGTACGGTGGGCATGAGACAGCGAGTAATTAATGTAGGGTCTGTCTCAACATCTAAGCGATCGTTCTCATAGAAAGCCTATAGGCTGTGACAGGAATATGACCGTGTCTATAATGTTCCATGTTGGAAAAGCGGCATTATTCATAACTATAGGTAATAGCAGATATGCGTTACCCACTCCGTCTTAGACTGCAGACGTATTGGAATACAGTATATATCCTTTACATAATGGTGTCATGCAGAGTCCATGAATTTTCAAAATAAACCTGTTAAAACTTGTGTTTTGTCCGTAATTATTGACTTTAAGTAGATGTGAAATAATCATTTAATGTGATAATAAATACCCCGTCACGCAGTAGCTGTTCAGATCTATAACCTGGTACGTACTACTACACGTACAATTCATTACATTCTGTCGGTCCAACTAGAAATTATATGCTGTTTGGAAAGAAAACATTAATGTTTTACCAGTTTCCAAATTCCGCATGGTTTTATGCACCTAAATAGGAATGGTGGCAGAGCGTACATGGTAAATGAGTTTGGCAGGATTGACCAAAACCGATGTTTTCTCAGAACGGGGTCTGTGCTGCAATTGATATCAAATTACGCTTAAAAAAATGGTGGCACATGCGTCTTCGTCAAAATTCGACGAAAAAGGCGTTCGGTAAGGAAAATTGTTTCATTAGCTGTTTCGTTGAGACATCATTATTTTGTACTTGGTTACAGCCATCTAATCTCGATCTGTGCAATATTTCGTACAGCTTTCTCTCTTTCTCTCGTACAGCTTTGTCACTTTTTCTCGTACAGCTTTCTCTCTTTCTCTCGCACAGCTCACTACACTGCCTGACAGCAGCAGTGCGCTATTGACAAAGCCATTATACAGTTACTTGCGAGACTGATTAAAATGTGGTTCTATTTTATTTGAATTCGCCGATCGATTGCAGATCTGGTTTATTGCTTTTTGTTGAGCCAGCAACTCGGCTGTGAAGTGTAATAGATGAGCACCTTGATTACGCGCACACTGCTTTCGGTGGTCGCTTTCGGATGCAGTTGGGAATGTTCAGTCTATGCCGGGCATCAGGAATTCAGCCGCAGAATGAGAAAAATGACTGTTTAGAAAAGGCATTGGGCGTCGGCGGCCCAGGGAGAAATCTTAGATCAAGCACGCGTGCTCAGCCGTTTTAATGTCGTAACTATATACTGCTGCCCTGCTGATGGCCTATTGTTGAAAAGGTATATCAAACTCCGTTATCTTCCCATCGCACTGTTATTACGTCGAATCTGTGGTGGCCCGCCTTAGACTATCCGTTTTCCGAACGGTATCGTTGCACTATTAATATAGCTATCGACTGTCAATAACTGCGTGTATTTGCGCAGTAGCGAAAATTGGGGACCGAAGAAAACCAGACTCGCTCATGGATTAAAACGTGAAAAAACGTACCATCTATTTAAAGCTCGTCTTAAATTTGACTACGAATTGTTTTAAGATCTAGCGAAATCTAAACGGTTTTTGTTGTTGAAAATTTGTTCATTTTGCGGTGTTGTGAGGCTGTTGCGCGTGGGAATAGATGGCCTACGTATAGTGCATGTAGATAACGTGCGTATAGTACGCATATGAATTTGCGAAGGTCACTGCAGCATTCTCTCTCTCTCTATGTCTCTTTCCCCTCTCTTCAATTTCAAACATGTGGGTGAAACGGTTCCCGAGTTATCGTTGACCGTAGCCAAATGTTGACGGAAGGACAGACGGACGGACG